AAAAAAAAAAAAAGATAGCAGATCAAGATAAATATTTGGGGCATATATAAATATATACAACAGAGATTAAAAACTTGAGGGGTCCCCTCCGATCTCAGGATAGCTCTTAAGATACCGCGGAGAACCCCATGGGCCTCTTGGAACACAGCGTGAAAACCACCGCCTTGTAATGTAAGATCAATGCCTTGTGATCTTCATCAGATGTTTAACACGAGGGAGACCCAAGACACAGAAAAGCTTGCTGTGAATTGGCCAAGAGCTCATAGGCAGAGTCAGGAAGTGACTCCTGGATCAAATACAGAAGAATTGGAGATGAGAGTCCTGGGGGCAGGAACATTCAAGGCACATCGGTTGTCAAGGTGATGGACTGAACAAGGTCACAAGTTCCAGACAAGCATGAACTGCAGCAGGAGGTAGAAATCTCCACTTACGTGGACTCCTGGGAGGCACGATGGGCATTACCCAAACCTTTTACCCATGGACCCACAGATATTCTCCCAAGATTCTGCTAGCCAGACCATTTCTGTCTTCCTATATTATCCTAAGTCAACCCAAGGACCATCACAACTGAAGAAAGAGGTCACAGGATCTTTGGCCGGCAATTCTTCCCACAACAAGGGGCCGAAAGAAAGAAATGGCAAAGCAGTAGTGCTTCAAAGTGGAACCTTTGAAGGGAGCCTCCAGACCTCTTCCAGCTGGGCAACTTCAGACGCTACACAGAAGCTCTCTGGGGGGCCTCAGCATCATGGTCAATCACATGAGAATATTAATAGCACTCACCCTCCTGGGGCTGTTATAAGAAATAAACATATATAGGGGCACCTGGGTGGCTCAGCCAGTTGAGCGTCCGACTTTGGCTCAGGTCACGATCTCACAGTTTGTGGGTTCGAGCCCCGCGTCAGGCTCTGTGCTGACGGCTCAGAGCCTGGAACCTGCTTCGGATTCTGTGTCTCCCTCTCTCTGTGTCCCTCCCCCACTCATGCTCTGTCTCTCTCTCTCTCTCTCTCTCTCAAAAATAAACATTAAAAATTTTTTTTAAAAGAAGTAAAACATATATAAAGATGTGTGCTGTGTTTAACCGATGGTAAGCACTCAATATATTTCATAAATCTTATGACACACAAGATTAAAAACCCTGTATCACCCCAAGTCCGCCAATTTGAGGATTGTTAAATAAACCATTCTACATCAATCAGAACACAGGAAATTCTTGAGAAAGTGTATAGTAAATAATGTAAAAGAAAGAAAACAGAATAGTATGTACTTCTAGATTACAACACTTCAGTGTAGACATGAGGATCACAGGAGAATATAACTGCCCCAAGTCCTTTTAGAAATTAGAGGGCACATGATGAAACAGCTAATATGCTAGGCTCACCGTCACTGCTGATCAAGAGTCCTACACAAACAGGTACTCAAGTGAACTGTGAAATCCAGACGTCACTACTGACTAAAAAGGGTTCAGAGCTTCTTGTCTGTCTTGCTTCCAAAGAGAAAGAAGCCAGAACTCACAGATGGCCAAAATTCCACCTGGGAGGCTCAAACTCTTGAGTTAAGCCATCATCAGACCTGCCTGGCCAGGCCAAGGCTGTTTCACAGTGAGAATCCAAATGCCTTTGAGAACACAGGCCCCACTGTCCCCTGATGGCCCACACCCCAAGTGACACTCGTTTTCATTCGTGGCCTGGCCCCTGGGTTCACTGACCACAGGGTTTCCCTTTAAGGAGAGGTGATCAATAGAAGAGATACGGAAGGAAAGTCTCGCTCTTTTCCGTCTTCCCTTCTTGCCACTTGCCGCGAGTGTCTCTTGGGCACTGCCTGCCACACGCTCGCAAAGCTGAAGAAATCAAGGACTTTCTGCTCACGGCCGGGCGAAAGGACACCAAGTCCGTCAAGATCAAGAAAAATAAGGATAATGTGAAGTTTAAAGCCCGATGCAGCAGATACCTTTACACTTTGGTCATCACAGACAAAGAGAAGGCAGAGAAACTGAAGCAGTCCCTGCCCCCAGGTATGGCAGTAAAGGAGCTGAAATGAACCTGGCACACTGATGTGAACCGTATTCAAGTTTTAAAAATTCTTAAAAAAAAAAAAGAAAAACAAGAGAGATGGAGGGCAGGAGTGGTGATCAGAGAGTGGGGACAGCAGAATTTGAGCACTTAAGCTTCTACCTGGTCTGATGGGTATGCTAGCAGTTGACACTTCGAAAGAGTTCGAGATCCAGGCTCTGCACGTAACTGAAGGAGGCAGAAGACTGGAGGGTAAAAGAGAGCCACTTCGTGATGGAGACACCGCTTGAGGCAAAATTCCCGCTGTCCTCAGTGAACTGTGTTAGCTTCACAGCTCGTGGCCATCTCTGTGCAGCTGAGGGGTGTCCCGTGTGTAAGAGTCACTAATGCAGTGGCCACACAGTCTGCCCTGCTCCAGCACGCCCTAAGGGATGGGATGCTCATTCTGGGCCAGGCCCCAGGGGCCATTCTCCCCTGTGAGACCAGTAACAGGCTGAATGAGAAAAAAGCTACAACCATTTAGAGAGGTGAAGTCACTTGGTAGCCAGAGAACAGAGATGGAGGAGGGGTGTGCGGGGGGGGGGGGGAGGAGGGGCAGGCCCGTGAGAGAATCGAGATGGGCAGCAGAACTCCTGTGGGAGACTAAGAGAAGGCATTCCTCTGTTATACTGTTTTTTAGGGTGCGTTTATTTTCTTTTGAGAGACAGAAGTGAGGCACAAGAAGGGAGGCAGAAGGGCAGAATCAAGCAGGCTCAAGCAAGGGCCTCCCAGGCCAAACCTTGACCCTGGGTCAGTGTGAGGCAGGCTGTTTAACCTTCCCTGGAGACACAGAATGGGAAGCAGGCTCCAGGCTCGAGGCCATCAGCCCCAGAGCCTGACGGGCTCGAACTCAGGCAGCGAGATCGTGACCTGGCTGAGTCGGACTGTGTCATGCCCAGCCCAAAGTAAACCTTTTTAAAAAGATTCTTTGGAGATATGCAAGCAAAAACTGATTTACTCAGTACTTTTGGGCTAATTGACCATGTGCTTCTTTTGTGCTTTTTTTACCACCCTTGGGGCCCCAAGAGCAAGTGTTGGGTTACATTCACGCCAGATCTGTCTGTCTCTTGTGGAGAAAACTATGTGGGGGGGGGGGGGGGAGAGAACAGGATGGCATCCAGGACAAAAGATGGAGGAGGCACCATGCTCCATAGGAGAAGAATTCGGTGAAACCAGCTGAGATTAGCACGTCTGTGGACGAGCCAGCGTGTGCACAGGGGAGACGAGAGGGATGTCCTGCAACAGAGCTCCCATTCCAAGATCCTGAAGTTTTCCAAGAAGGAAACAAATAACTGAAACAGCCCAGCGTTCACAGGACGGACAGCGTTCACAGGTGAGCTTCTTCATGAAGTTTTAGAAGCTAGCTCCCGAGAGAGAGATGATCCTCTCATCAATCCTGGGTGAATGCAATCGCCTAAGCCACGCCCCCGGCTCCCTCTTTCCCCGTCACCAGGCACCACCACTCCTTAAACAAGGTGTCACCATGCACCGTCACTGTTCAATGGGACAATACAGTAAAACGCTTCGAAAGCTACTGCTATGGCGTGGGGTGGGGAGCACTTGGGAAAGTACTGAACAGAAACTAGCCCTCTTATACGATCTGGATGGAAAGGTATTTTCTAAGCACAACCACAATGGAACACACCGCAAGGAAGTATAAAACTGCACAGAAATTAAAAGTTTCTAAATCTAATAGATGCTGAACAGAAAACAGAAGTGGGTGGAAAGTATGGCACAAACACCACAAAGGGCCAAAATCCTAAAAATCTAAAGCACACATATACGATGATTAACATGACACCACCTCCCTTGTTCCCGATGGCAACACAGGGGAAGAATTCGCTGGCTCATTCAGGGAAGATGAACTATAAGTGTTTTTAATAAGCACTTAAAACTAATCATCTTTAGTGTACAAAGAAACTCTATGAGATTCATTTTTACCAAATTACAATAATATGCTCAAGTCATATGGGAAAAAATGGCTATATGGAAAATAATCAGATATAAAATATGATCTATTTCCGTGACCTTAAGACGTACCTTTCCCCAACATTTTAATTTTTTACTGTTTTTGTTTTGTTTTTTTGAAGTTTATTTATTTTGAAAGAGAGAGACAAAGAGCGAGTGGGGGAGGGGCAGAGATAGGGAGAGAGAGAATCCTAAACAGGCTCCATGCTCCGCACAGAGCCTGACATGGGGCTCAATCCTACAACCCTGGGATCACGACCTGAGCTGAAATCAAGAGTCAGACACCTAACCAACGGAGCCACCCAGGTGCCCCTCCCCAACGTTTTAATGTTGATTTATTTTTGAGGCTGGGGGGTGGGGGTGGGGAGGGACAGAGAGAGGGGGACAGAGGATCCAAAGCAGGTTCTGTGCCGACAGCAGAGAGCCTGACGCTGGGCTCAATCCCGAGATCACGACCTGAGCCGAAGTCAGATGCTTAACTGACTGAGCCACCCAGGCGCCCCGAGATGTTTTTATTCTTGCTGAATGCCTGTTCATGATGTCAGTTTATAGCTTTATACTGCAGAATGGTGTTTCTCAATATTTTGTTTGAACGGGATATAATTTGATTGCAAAAGCTCTTTCTTCAACTTTGTTCCCATGTAGGGAAAAAAAAAAAACAGATCCCAGAAACAAAATTCAGTTCAGCATCACGTAGCTTTGCATACTGACCAGGCCACATCACAAACTTGTCAGCCCAGCTCCTGAGCCCCACGAGCCTTGTAGGATGCTGCTATAGGAGTGCCTGTCACAAGCCTTTCGTGGATGGAAAGGTATTTTCTAAGCACAACCACAATGGAAGACACCGCAAGGAAGTATAAAACCGCACAGAAATTAAAAGCGTTTCTAAATCTAATAGATGCTGATGCCAGGGCCAGAAAGGGGTGCCGGCGTAATTATTTCTGTTAGACTAAAATGAATACGACTGTTGTTGCAAATCTGGAAATCTACCTTGAGTGTTACACCCCGGAAGCAGGGCTTGGCCGGTCTCTGCCAGAGCCTCCCAGATGGGCACAAGCCATGTTCCCCTTCTTAGCCCAAGCCAGAGCATCCCTGCATCTGGACAGGCTGCTCTGGGCTAAATCAGCTTGCTCCTCGCGTACTTAACTACCAGCTGGTGAGGAGGTCCACCAAGACAAGAACCGAGCACATCTCACCTCCTCTCCACTCCAGCCCGGCCACCAGTTTGCCTATGCTCTGAAGCACAGGGGGCCTTGCCCTAGTCAGCAACATCCCCAAGCCACAGCCTTCTGGACCTCAGAGCTCTCAAACTTTCGTGTGCACTTCTAACAAGGTCCGGGATGATGCCGATACCACGGGTTCCATCAACCACTCTCAGAACAGCAAGGATTCCTGGAGGGAAGTGTCAGTCTTCAACCGTATGCCCACTCCCATCAAACGGGTCACTTCCAGGTGGTGGCCACCGAGTTGCTGGTACTCCACACTTCAGCCTTTCCTTCCCCTTCCTGGGCAGTCCTGCAAGCGTGAGCTAATGAAGAAGAGTCACGACATAAAAGAAACCTGGACCACGGGGCCCACAGAGGACCGCTCTGGGCAGTCACCACACCCCAGGGAGCCTGGTGAGAATAAGAAGTAAACTCCCGTTGTGCTAAGTTGCTGAGATTTGGGGATAACCTAAAACCTAAGCCTACCCCGACCATATCATAGGCAAATGACCTCAAGTCCTTTCTGGAGAGAAGCTGAGTTATAAATACACAGCAAATATAGACACAAACTCCTAACAAAAGCCTGTTCGAGAGAAAAGATATTTATAGAAGATTATGTTGAGGATACACGGTCACCCTACTTCTCTGAGTACTTCGGATTCGTTCTTGTTTCAATCTGATCACCAGCCTCTTTCAGAATCAACATCCCCGAGTTGTGTTTTCATAGTCTGCTCTTTTTAATTTTTTTTTTCAACGTTTATTTATTTTTGGGACAGAGAGAGACAGAGCATGAACGGGGGAGGGGCAGAGAGAGAGGGAGACACAGAATCGGAAACAGGCTCCAGGCTCTGAGCCATCAGCCCAGAGCCCGACGCGGGGCTCGAACTCACGGAGTGCGAGATCGTGACCTGAGCTGAAGTCGGACGCTTAACCGACTGAGCCACCCAGGCGCCCCAGTCTGCTCTTTTTAAACATACATACATAATATTTACCTATTCATTTAAGTGTATAATCCAATGGCATTAAATATATTCACTCTGTTTTTTAGCCATCATGGTCCCCAACAGAAAGGCCCTCTCCATAAAAAACCCTTCCCTTCTTCCCCCAGCCTCTGGTAACTTCTGTCCTACCTTCCATTCCTATGGAATTTCCCTACTCCAGGTACCTCATATGAGTGGAATTATATAATATGTGTCCGTCTGTGTCTGGCTTATTTCACTAAGTATAATGTTTTCAAGGTCCACCTGTGTTGTAGCATACATCAAAATTCCATTTCTTTTCCTGGCTGAATAGTATTCCATCGTGTGTTCCTACCACACTGTGTTTATCCATTCATCTGTTGACAAACACTTGGGTTGTTTCCACCTTTTGGCTATAATAAATAATTCTTTTAAAAAAATTTTTTTTAACGTTTATTTATTTTTGAGACAGAGACAGAGAATGAACGGGGGAGGGTCAGAGAGAGGGAGACACAGAATCTGAAACAGGCTCCAGGCTCTGAGCCGTCAGCACAGAGCCCGACGCGGGGCTCGAACTCACATACCGCGAGATCGTGACCTGGCTGAAGTCGGACGCTCAACCGACTGCGCCACCCAGGCCCCCCTGCTCTGACTTTTAAATCAAAGGTCTCAGACAATCGGTGCATGAAATCCTCTGTTGCATTTTCAGGAAAACGTTGCTTGCTTGTGAACATCACCCACTATCCATGCAATGTTGCCTATATAAAATCTCCAGGGGAAACATTTTTGAGGATTAGGTGTTGGGACAAGGTTGATGCTTCCTGTTTTCTGATAATAAGAATTCCAGAATGGATCATGATGCCGCCGGGGAGCTTACAGCCAGATTTCAAACTTGAACAGTCACTGTTGATGCCCCGACCACACCTCTTGGGACCCCCTTTACCGCTTCTGGGCACTCAGGCCTGACTTCAAATGGGCAGCGCCTGTATCTTTGTCAGAGGACTGCCCTTGGGCTGCCCACGAAGAAAAAAAAAAAAAAAAA